ATTGATTGAATATTAAATTTTCTCCTAGGTGAATTTATAGTGGATCATTTTCTATATTTTAACTCGATTATTTTATGCCTAAACCATATACTAATAGTGTTTTTCATAGGATTCGATTTGCCTTTTGATACTTTTAATTTGGTGGTTAATTAATTTTCTCTTTTCTCTAACTTTCACTGTTTAATGATAATCCAAGACAATCATTTGTCATATCCCTTGTTGCTTCTTTGTCTTGTTTCTCACTATTTTGTTGCCACGTGTCGTAATTAAATTTTTTATTAGTTAATATAATCACGGACCAAGAGTGATTAAGACAGCAAAGTTAGAAAGTCATGATTATATAGTTCGAATATTGTTAATAACTTTCTAAAAATAATAAAGAAATCATTCCTCGTTATGGTAATTATAGTTTCTTGATAATTAAACTGTGTATTTAAGTCAAAACTATAAAAAATTATGGAATTCATAAGCAAATTAAAGAGCCAAACGAGGACCCTATAATCACTTATCACACTTATAATCAGGCTGAAAATGGTGCATGGTGTAGTGGTGGGATCATTCCTTCTTTAATCAAAAGTCTCGAGTTCGTGCCCTGAATTTAGAGAAAATCTAGTTGGAAGTGACATCGCCAAATGAGCCTTTTAATATATGATTCGAATTTAATCAAAGCTTCAAAATAAGCACCGATCATCACATGAAAAATAATTTTAGAAAAGTTACAGTTAGATATATTTGGTGATTTATTATTCAGTATTCTTCTCTTTATATGGATTGGGCAAAGTAGGACATTTAGTGAACTAGCTACTAATTTCTTTGTTTCAAAATAATTAAGATAAAAATTATATATAAAAATTCAAGACAAAAATATATACTCTTATACTCTATCATTTTAACAATATTCAATTTTCAAGAAACATTTATAAAATAAAGGTAATTTAATAAACATCATATTTTATTTATAATTTTTAAATGAATGATTTTTTTTTTAAAATAACACTTATTTTAGAAGAGACTGAGTATAAAATACTATAGTCCTTAATTTTGTTAGTTTGAGACTTGACACAAATCGAATCTGATGTAAAGTTGTAAAACTAGGCCTTTTGGGCTTTTCCAGATTAGTATACTTTGCATCATTCTCAAGGAAAGATGATTCCATTTTGACACACTAATTAAAGAGACTAAACACTTTTAATTAAAATTAAATGAAGTTACTATTATAAAATCTTGTTACCCTATAGTCTAATTAATTTATCTCATATTATATACATATTATAAGCTTCAAGTATATAATATGTACTTCACATATAGTAATAACCAGACAATTAGCATGTTATTAATTGATTAAAAGTTTAATATAATTTTTTTATCCCGCTGAAGTGAGAGACCTTACATTATACCAATATCTCTTTTGATTTTTCGATCATTCAAAAGTATCTACTGATATTCAACCTGAATTCGATCATACATTACATTATTTGTACAGAAAAAAATATAATCATTTTTTGGATACGTCGTATATGCTTTTTGAGTGGCTTTAATTGAGTAGTAGAGTGGTGCCAAATACAAGTAGGTTAAGAGGACCACAGAATTGCAGAAATCATCATTAAATTGATTTGTGGAAATTCTCGTTATGTTTTAGATTTCGTTTTGTTGCTTCTTTTGAGTTTTGGCAGACCAAAAAAGAAACATAACTCCAAAAATATTGGCAGCCTTTTATTATAATGTTGATAGATACATAAATGGGCACTAAACTAATAATCTATATATATATATATAGCCTCTTTTGTTGGTATGTAGATGGACACACATATAAATTAGGCACATTAACTATTTATAAGTGGTTCACATGTGCTCCATTCTTTTTACCATACAATCACGTGTGCTTACCTTCCACTTTTGATTTTTTTTTTTGCCTCGGTCCGAAAATGAGATAGACGAACTTGATCTAAGGCAACACCTTTAAAGGATCAAAAAATGGAATAAGAAATCCAAAGTGGGTTCCTTGTAGAGTGGATTCTGGTCGACTTAAGTTATGTAGAAATGAATTTATGTAGTATGACATAATTTGTTATGTTTTTTACGATTTAACTTGTGTATATTGTGCCACACAAATATAAACTTATGCCCACAAGAAAATATAATGATCAACCCATTTTTAATATATCATGGATTAGTCATCAACAATGTTAATGTTCAAGCCCAAGGAAAAGATGGCCTAAAACTAAAGGAAGACTCAAATTATGGTAGAATACTGATAGATGGGCTTTTGTGGCTATTTTAGAAAGTTTGATGACTAACAGAAATGGACCAGCACAAATCTTTGTAATTGCTTATGTTTTAGGATTAATTACAGAAATCCCACCTTTTAGTTTATTTATTACCATTATCCCCTATAAGTTTTACAATTTTTCAAAATTCCTCATTTTCACGGATCGGATTAATGTATCTCGCGCATCAGATTAGTGTATCATGTATAAAATGTAATGTATCTTACTTAACGATTAATGTATCTCGCGCATCAGATTAATGTATCATCGCTTATATTATTGTATCCGTTTGAGGGATTTCTGTAATTATAAACTTTTAAGGGATAGATTGTAATTTTCCCTTAAAAGTATGTGATTTCTGTAATTTTCCCATTTTACTCCATTCTAGAGGCAACAATTGCACCGCATAGCCACTTTTCACAGAAGTATTTAAATTATAACCAATTATCAACTCGACAAACTTCAGACAAGAGTATGTTCATCCTTTATGTAATGTTCTATTTATTCTGAGTGTTTCGATTATCATACTGTACATATATTTCTTAAATAGCGCGTTTCAAATCGTCTATTTGTACTTGCCACACTCTAGAGATATAGCATGTAAACATACAAGTTGTTAATGTCTTTCTGGGTCAGGCCCATTGAGCTTATAATGCCCATGTAAGTTCATGTATTTCTGGTTCAGGCCCATTCAGCTGGTAATGCCTAAGTATGTTCATGTCTTTATGGGTGTGGCCCATTCAGCTGTTAAGGCCCATGTTTTCCTAGGCTGGACCATTAATCAGGGCGAATAACTTTTTTACGGGGCATAATATATCACTAGTTATATTCTACGCCTTGAAAAAACTCATGTCCTACTAGACATAAGTTCGATTATTAGAAAGTTAAGACCAGACCATTTGAAAATCAAATCATGCAAGTATTTCGATTAAGTATTATAACAAAGAAGTTGAACTAGAAGAACAAGTCAGAAGGATTAATTTGAATTTAAAGTCAAAAGTTCCAAATATGAGCTGTATCTTATTTGGCAGCTTCATATTTCTTTTTTGAAAAGAATATTAGAAATTATTCCAAAACTAACATCATCATTAATGTCCAATCACTAGCATTCCTTTAAGACCTAATATATATATTTCAAAAAAACAAATGTTCTTTTCTTTTTCTTTCCAACGATTCTTCCAATTTGTTAGTATGTCAGTCAAGCCCAATTTAATGATATCGTTTAAAGTTGCAGTCAGGTAAATATGATTTCTTTTCTTAATAGGTAGAGAGTGTTTTTCACTGTAGTGGACCTTAGTAAGGTCATAACCTTATGCTACGTGAATTCAAATCAATTGAGCCCTAAAACAAATACTGAGTTGGTGAGCAAAAATGGGGTGACCAAATAAAGAATAAGTGCTTCATTTTGCAAGATTCAAATACTTAATAGGTGTTCCATGTTATCTTTGAAAAATTGTATAATTTTTTCGTCATAAACTCAATAATTAAAATGAGCTATGAATTCGACCGCAAATACTCACTCAGCTAGTTATACTCATGCAAAATAAGTAGGTACTATTGCATGCTATTCAATGTAGAAGTTGTTAAAGTTTCATTTGAATTGACAAAACATAGGAATAGATCAAACAAAAAACATCATTTCCAACCCCCACACCAACACAAATAATATAAGTACGTGGTACGTGAGAGAGTACTGTAGTTTTTCACATGGGGATGTTATCATTATAACTCCCACGACCTGCACGTTACGCCTCAATTATTCCACACTATATATAAATCAAAGTTGTCTCAATTTATTTGTCTTAGTTTAAAAATTGTGTCTAACTTTAATTTGATACAGAGTTTTAGAACGTATCAAAATATCCTTCAATTATTGTGGTCTTAAACATGATACACGGAAACTGATAATTTAAGAGTTTGAATAAATTTTCTCTACATATTTTGATTCATCAATCAACAATAATCATGTTACACAAAAATAAAAATTTACAATAAGCTAATAGCGATAATCCATTAATTAATAGGAGTAATCACAGTACTTATTAATTTGTCTCTGTGTTGTTGAATTTCACTCCGAGTCGAACCCGGGACGACTCAGTGGTAAAAAACGACTCGCCCACCGTTTTGCCATCTCCTATCACATTCTCCGGAGTATACTTCACTCTTGACTCGTGACCCGATCATCCCACCTCAATTCATCGTAAAAAATGTATATAAAAAAGGATTTAACTTTTTTTTATTAATCGTGTAAATAATTCTTACACTATTAGTATAAATTTCCTTGCTATAATAAATTAATTGTTTTATTTCTCATGTTACTAATTCCACAAAACACAAACAATTATTTACATTTATCTTTTACTTGATCTGATCATTAAAAGATAACTGTAAATAACTGTTCATGAAAAGCGAACTAATAACGTGAAAAATCAAACAAGTTAACTTATTATAACAAGTTAAAATTACACTAATAATGCAACAATTTAGCACACGATCAACAAACCTTTAAACTTACCAGTAAATTTTATTTTCGATAAGCAAAAGAATAATTCCCTCAATTAGTAAAAGAAAAAAAAAACTCATCAACCAACCGAGTCAAGTGAGTTAACTGTGCAGGCGAACTAGCTTGGACGAGTCGAACCCGGATCAAAATCATCACCATCTTTTTATTCTTCTCATATAATGAAATTTCGGTCAATTTTTTTTCTTTGATTGACTCTCGAAATTTCAATATTACCAAATGGACTTATCGGAGATTCCATTCAAAAGAGGTCTGGAATCAGCCCAGAAATCGAGGTTACTCCGAATACCAACATGACAATATCTTTGAAAATCCTCGAAATTGATGAAACATCCAACGTTGTTTTTATCAGATTCGTAGCGAGCTAGGTAACATAATATTTCTTCGAACAATGATTCATCGCAGGGAATATATAACGGACCAGAATTCGAAAAACCAAACTCCTCCTCAGCGCGTGCTAGCAATTTTTTGAACAGTGGGTGGTTTAGATACGTCGCTCGCACCACAAATCTCTTACAATCAGTGCCTACTGTGACTGCTATATGTCCGGAGGGTACATCAGACGGTACGCGACAACGAGCAGTCATCGCGGCCTTCTTCCTCCATCGTCGTAACATTTGACGGAGTCGAACAATGTATCGGATTTTACTACAAGCAGACATTTTTTTTCTCGAGAAAGTATGAAGGAAAATTTGTTTTTTTGTTTTTTGTTGTCGTTTTGAGGGTAATTGATGGTCGTTTTGATGCTGTTTTTAGAAGGAAAATATAGTAAAGGTTTTATTTTCCAGGATTTTCAGATTGGAGATGGCGCGGGTTTATATAAAAGTTTGATTTAATTAATAACCCTTGATTATTGATTAATTTACGAGATTTGCCATTATTTCTAATTTAGGGAATTTTACGACTTTTGCCACGAAATTTTTGTAATTTGCAATTTTGGCATGGAAAGTTTTTTGGGTTACTCAATTTCGGCGTTGAAGTTTCTCTATAAGGCAATTTTGACATTAATTTTTTGAAATCGTTTTATATTTTGAAGAGGTATATATATTTACACACTTGTTCATACCATACCTTATATTGATCTTTATCTTTTAAACGGAACTTGTATAGTTGTGATTTTGTTAGCTAAATGGAAATAGACATATAGAATACGTTCGATGTGGATTTTTTATAATTTTTTTGTGTAAATTAAAAGTGAAATGTGATTTGCGCTTAGCTATACCGACTTATATAGATGGACATGTTCTTCATGGATCTAGGAAACTTGTGTCATTTTAATTAGATTATTGTGATCGACGAAAAAGAAAGAAACGACTAATACCTCGTTAAAACAAAAAGGTGTATTGAGTATACACATATATATAAAATACTCCCTCCGTCTCAATTTATGTGACACTTTTCGAATTTTGAGATTCATATAAGTCTATCTTTGACCGTAAATTTTTCATATATCTTTTAAATATTTTGAATTGTTAATTATGATGACTTATAGTACTTTTATTTAGTTCATAAATATATAAATTTCATTTCAAAATATTTGAAGATTTCATGCATAAATTTCTGGTCAAATTTAAACTGTTTTGACTCTCGAAAAATGAAAAGTGCCACATAAATTGGGTCAGAGGGAGTAACTTTTTTTAAATCATAATACATATTCATTTTGTAGCAATTATATGATTATATTTTATTTAATGGCTATAATATAATATGGATATTTATAAATACACGTCTACATAAATGTCACTAAAAGTTTTTGTAACGCTAGATACAATAACATTAATTCAATTGCCACTAAATATCTTTTTTGTTACTGTATAATCTTTTCTAAACTATATACGAGGAGATGTCAGAGGTGACGTCCCTGGAATTTTATGAAGTAGCAAAAACTAACGTGAGAGCCAAAGTCAGTTAGTATAGTTTTAAAAGATATAAAATTAGAAGCTCTCAACTAGTTAATATTATGTGGCTCTAATGTTTTACGTAATCTTTGTGTATATATATATATATATATATTATTTTAATATTATTATTATTTTTTAATTATTTTTATATATATATATATTTTTTTTGTTGAAATGTTTTACGTAATCTAATGAAACATGCATATCCCTTAGCTTTCCTAGAAAATAAAAGGCAAATTAATTAGCCACTTATCGACAGTTAACTAAATAAAGAAAAATTAATCATACACGAATCCTCTATGTTTTGTTCTCTTTTCATTTTTCAATCAATATGGAGGATAGGAGTTTACTTTGAAATAAGTGTTCTTTTTACTGACTTAATTTGTCAGTGTTTGAATTATTTGATTGGAAATAACTGATAAGCACATAGCGTTAAAATAATTTTGTTACATTATACGTAAACTGACAGTTACATATTTGAATAAGTAGATTGAAATTGATGATAAATTTGACCTTAGAACTATTCATGAAAATTGTAAGAATGACGAATGACACACGTAAATCGATTAGTGAAAGAAGTTAGACGTTCATATTTAAAAAGAGTAGAATTACTCAAGATTTAAAATTATAAATTTAATTAATACGTGTGGAGTTCATTAAGTGCAGTCACAATTATTTGGAAATATTATTCACGAGCTTGATACATTTCTAAATATTACTTATTTCCATATTTTATGTATAGTTCAATTTGAAGATAGTGAATGAGCTCAGTACATCAACTAAATTCACTTAAATCGTCCAAATAAGCTTAAGAAGTTCATCCTTGATGGAATTCAAATTTTTAATCATATCATACATCAAACAATTAGTAAAAACTTATCAACATCGGATGTTTGCATCAAATTATATTATCTAATATTATTAAGTAATTTAATGTCGTAAAAACAAATATATTGTGCAAATACATATCATACCCCTATTGATTTATTACAAACATTAAACACTTTATATTTGTAAATGTTTACTTTTAAGCACTTCTTCGTACAATTTTTCTATGTTTGGACCAATTCAATAATTAAGTTCAATAAAAGACTGCCCTACCAACTTATAACTATTAGTTCAAAACAAACGACAGTACAAATTACAAAAAAATGAGTAATTTCACTAATTAATTAATTAAGTTTTGATTTTCTCCTAATTCGAAGCCGCTAGTTGACATTTCCAGAATCAACAAAACATTAAAAAAAAAAATTAAAAATATTCTAATTAGCAATATGGTTGTTGCTAGAATCATTTGGTACAGTACTGAACTATATATATATATATATATATATATATATATATATATATATATATATCTTTCCCTAAGACCAGCTATTACAAAATAAAAATTGCACTACCAATATCAACAACTACTATTTTATTTTATTTTTAAAGAAAGTGAAATTAACATTATTATTTAATTAAGATTAATTTGGTAATTAGCGGGTTGATTAGAATCCTAATTAAGGGAACTAAAAGACAGTAGAGAACAGACATAGTGGAGTTCGTGTGCTTTCCAAGTGTTTTTTTTTTTGAACGTACGCACGAATTGTCGACCTCTCACATGTCACGTCTTCATAATTACCACAAAAAAAATAATGTTGTCCCTAGTATTCAGATTAGCAAATAAAAAATAATAAAAAGGAAAAGAACTATTCGAGTTCACAAAACTCACTGTGTTTCCTATAGAAATTTAATCCCCTCAAGTATTCGAGGTTGTAGATAATTCCTCCCAAGATAAAACGGATTGACCATTAAAGAAGTAGAGGTACCTCAAAACTTTGATAATTTCAACGAATTCAAAAATACAGCAACGAGATCACATACAGACACAATCGATCGATTTTATTTGTAAAAAATGTATGTAGAAGAAGGGAAGAATTTGGTGCTGAAAAATGAGAGAAACCTCTCTATTTATAAACAACAAATGATAGCATGAAAAAGTGTTAATTGTACCTTATTAGAAAGGACACAATTCTTTGGAAAATAGACAACCATTCGAATGGCCACAATCCTGTAGAAAAGACACAACTTTTCTTAAAGGTCACAATCCTTCGTAAAAACCACAACCCTTCAGGAGAGTAACAAACCTTCATTTCCTATTCACATCTTTAAAATCCAACACCGACCACACTAAGTGAATACAAGAAACAAGAGTATTATGCATGTCTACTTTGATATTGTTAAAAGAAATGTACATTAATTGGTATTAACTCAACTAAAATTAGTTCATATCAATTAATAAAATACCATATAATATAAGAAGACAACAATTCATTCACTCAATCAATACACGCCATTCTAACAAATTTATTTACACTTTATCTTCTTACTCCAACATGTAAATCATGGAGTATTTACTATATTGTTAGTTGATACAAATTTTAGAGTTTATGTACATATTTAAAATTTATATTCACAATTTATTTAATAAATAAGGGTAAATGACATTTTTGGTCCCTGAATTATTACTATCCTAGTTTTAGTCCTCATGTTATTTAACTAACCACATTAAATCTTTAATTAATGTTAATGTGTGATTTTGATCCCTAATACTAACGCATGTTAAAAATTTATCCGAATAAATAATAAGAAAATAAATAACTGAAAAAGACGAGCAAACATAGGAGATTTTTAGCCTATGTTTTTTTAAAATACTTTTTGTATATTTATTTTTTGATATGTGATTATGTTAAAATTTGTAATGACCCGGAAAGTCATTTTTAGAAATTTTTACAAAATTACCATTTTACCCATCTCGGTAGTTGCCTTGAGTCACTTTGGATCAGTTTGTGAAGTTGGTTGGGAATTTTGAACTATTTATTTAACTACGATTATTTTGTTAACGGATATTTATTAAATAATTAATTTTTATTAGTTGATGTTTAATGAGTCAAGTCCATATGTAATATATTTTAAGTTAAAACCCTATACCACTTGGCCCATACAAATTAACTTAACTGAGGATGGATGTTCTGAGTCAAACTCAAAATCAGCCGTAGCATCTCCGTAAATGAAGCAAATATAAGGTATAATCACAACCTTAATTCTTATTATTTTATGGATACACAAATAGTCGGTTATTGTTAATTTATGGTAACGTGGAGTTGAGGGGAAAAAGGGTCAGATTTTGACAAAATCTGCGAATGGCATATATATATTTTTTCGCTCTTTGTAGTCCTTCAGTAAAGGCATAAGATTTTAATACTCATATTGGATAATTATGACAATAATTGATATATGATTAATTAATCATTAGAAATTGAAAGGATTATATTGGTTGGAAGTTCTGGGGGGGAACAAGATCTGGAGGTTGGCATTAATTTCAATTCATTCTTTCCGTAGTGAATAATAAATTGAAATTGGAAAATGCTTAATTTATACTTTGGATGGATAGGTTATTAGTTTGGGTGCAGGTATTAAGAGAATTGGCATGGTTGCCGCCACTGGTTCATAACCAGTTGGCTTCCTTTTTAATTAATATTATTATATTTATGATATTGGAAAAGAATTGGAACTTAACCCTAAGCTTGAAACTTAGGAACTTGATTATAGATTTAGGTGATCTTTTGGGTCTAGGCTAAACCTATAGTAATATGGGTGTTGTTAGTTTCAGAATCTTATTGTGAATATGTACTTGAATAGATTGCATTGATTTGGAAGCTCAACAAAAAGGGAAGGCTCAAATTTCGGAGTGATTGTTCGATTATTTGAGGCAA